TTTTCCTCAAAACTATTCTTTTCAATTAAATAATATAGATATCGAACTCTTGAGGTCTAGCACTTCTTGAGTTCTCGAAGGATTGCTCTCAAGGTGTACACCTTGAGTTGTGATCCTTTTGATCTTACATTTCTTAAATACCTAGCGCGCCTAGCCCGAGTACGCTAAATCCATTCAAATTATTTTTCTAAATTAAATCACGAAAGAATCGAGTTCTTGGAGTCGCGCATTCCTTGAATTCGAGTATGATCACTATTGAGGCGTACGCCTTGTATGGTGTGCCATTCAAACTTTCGTTCTTAAAATACCTCCTCTAATTATTTGGACCAATACTTTCATTGTCTAACAAACATATTTTATAATTAATTGAATGAAAAAGGTATCGTTGGAATCTAGCATTCCGGTAATATCCCGATTAATTGGTTGCGAGGCCGACGTCTCGTTTATCGATTAGTCGTCATTCCTCCTAAAGTTTTCAACCCATCTAACCTCGTTCCTCACCCACGTGTGATCGAGTCTAAACACTAGTGTGTTTCTAAACCGTACGTCAAATTCAAATCATTTTTCTTAATCAAATTACGAAAGAACTGAGTTCTTGGAGTCTCGCACTCCTTGAATTCTTGAAAGACAACTATTGAGGCGTACGCCTTAGGTAGCGTGTCATTCGACCTTTCGTCTAAAACACGCGCCTTAACTATTTGGACAAGTATTCACTGTCCATTCAAATACAATTTCCTAATTAATTGAATGAAAAAGGTGTCGTTGGGATCTAGCATTCCAACGATATCCCGACTAATTGGTTGCGAGACTGACGTCTCGTTTATCGAGTAGTCGTCATTCTCCCTCAAAATATCTAACCGACCTTATCTTCTTCGCCTCCGTGCAATCGAAACCCTAACTACCTATTCAACCTAACTCTCTCTTTCTCGCCCTCGTGCGATTGAAACTTTCTCAAACATATTCCGTAATTATTCGAATGAAAAAGGTGTTGTTGGGATCTAGCATTCCAATAATATCTCGATTAATTGATTGCGAGGCCGACGTCTCGTTTATCGAATAGTCGTCATTCTCCATCAAATTACCTAACTAAATTCCTCTTTCTCGCCCCCGCACAATCGAAACCTTAAACCTATTCAAATATATCCTCTAACCAAAACATCCAATACGATAAACACTAAATTCCTCGCCCTCGTGCGATCTCCAACCTAAACACCTTTTACCTAGAACATTGTTTAGTCCCTTCTTCCGCGCATAACAAACTCGCGCTTCAGCCTCCCCTAGCGAGCAGACAAGCCAATGTTTAGCAGTTAGAATGCGACCTAAACACTCGTTCGTTCCCATACCAAACCTTTTTACCGTAGTTAGCCGAACTACGGCTGCTCTGATTTCTCATTTATCAATGAGAATACGTAGGCACAAGATTGCGATGATCTTGGCGAGCACAATCCCCTCCTTTACCCGTAGTCCCACGAACTACGAATGCTCTGATTTTCCACTTCTTACAAGTGAAGATACGTAGGCACAAGGGCCCCAATCCTTGGCGAGCACCCTATCTTAAAACCACCTTTCCCCCCTATAGGAGAAACCTTAGAAGAAAACAAACAAGCATAGTTAACTTTACTCTCGAATCGATCAAGAGGTTCCCGTTGAGTACAACGGACGTAGAGGGTGCTAATACCTTCCCTCTGCGTAATCGACTCCCGAACCTAGAATATTGGTTGCGATGACCATGTTCTTATCTCCTTAAAGGTTTTATCGATATTTTCCTATTCCATCCTTGGAATGAATAAAGTTCGGTGGCGACTCTGTTTCAAACAGTTTTTTCCGCGGCCATCGCGAGGATCGTATTTTTCGAGGTACGACAATAAGGAGCTGAAGACTTGAAGAACTGAAGAAAACTATTGACATTCAAAGAGCAGTTACTCTGTCAAAACATAAGCACAAGTTTAACTTAGGATTTATTATCTTTGTATATCTTAGAAATTCCTAAGTCTTAAAGAGTCTTCTTATATTGTATTATGTCTACACCTCTGATTGTATATCAAATGTATTACCCCAAAAAGTCTAACAGATTTAAGTCCAGCTTCTTGTGTTTTTCTCACCTTTAAGTTATCCTTTTTCTCATCCACAAAATCATCACTATCATTAAAGTTGTCAAATGCAATTTCCAAAGCACTATCATACTTAAAAGTCTCATCTTCATTATCATCAGAACTTACAAAACCAACCATGTCAACCTCAATCATCACACATGCATTACCCTTATTAAAGATAAAATCATCAGCACCTCACCATCTTGTCCCTCAACTTTCGGAACACCACCACCTTACATATCATCATGTTTTCCCTACCTTCCTGAACATCACCACCTGTACATTTTCATGTTGCCTGTGCGTATCCTCTCTAACTGCTTCTTCATAAATTTTAGCAAGCAATTCTTCTTCCTCTTCAACATTTATAATGTCCTCGAGATTTAATTATTCTTCCTCAAAATGACTCTCATAAAACACAGACCCAGACACATCATGTTGTATACAAATATCAACACTCAAATGCACCTTACAAAGATCTACAATATCTAATGTGGAGTTGTCATCAATCAAAACATCCATCCCAAATGTTGAGTCCTTGTACCATATTGTATCTATTTCCTTATAACCTAGTTCTTTCACTATACCTACCAACTCAAAATAACTCTACTTGTCATTATTAATTTTTAATCCAGTAATTGTTCATCCTTGATATACAGTTAGTTCATTATCCAAAAATAAACCACCATGATGAATCAACAAAAGCGAATATTTTTCCAATACTACTTATGTCTAGTAAAATTTTAATTAGAAAGGGGGCGAAAAATCATGATAACCCTAAAACCTAAAACTAAAACTCAACATAGAACTAAAACCTAAAATTGAAAACGAAAATACCTAAAACCTAAAAACGCTAAACAATTTTTTTTTTAATTTGGTCTCCACATCGGTTTTTTAAAAAGTTAAAGACTAAAATTATATAGATTTTGAGGTACAGTAAGTGTTGGAGAAGTCCGGGGAGCGAGGTCCGAAATTTTTAACAGGAGAAACATTCATGGTTCCAAGAAACCTTGATAACACATATCCACCAAAAATCTTAAGGCAATAGGCATATGGGTCACCTTTCTTATAAACCCAACATTTCCATCATTTCTAATCGATGTGAGGCTTTAGCATTTTCACACTTGAAACCCAATAATCTCTCCTAGAAGTGTGAATCACCCACATCACTAGCATTGATCCACACCAGTACTGTGATACCACTTGTTGGGGAAATCCGTGGTGTGAGACCCGAAAGTGTTAATGGGTTAAACATCTGGGGTCCAAGAGAATTTGATAACACATATCCACCAAAAGCCTTAAGGAAATGGAGGTATGTGTCATCCCTCTTTTAAACTTAACATTTATTTCAGTTCTAGTTGATGTGAGACTTTACTACTCACACTTGAAACCCAATAATAAGGAACCAAATTAAACTCTGAGAAATAATAAGGGATGAAAATGTTATTGAATTACTCAAGTATTTGAACATCACTAATTACTCTATATGTTCCATAATGAGCAACATAGTTGATTATTTCAAACATATTAAGAAAAAAGTATAAATGAAAGAGAGAATGATATTTTTACTAAAAGATACCTTATCAAATAATTGAGAAGGATGAAAATAAGTACTACCTCTTATCCTTATTATAAGAGAAAATTCATTTTTTAAATTTATTCAGTAATTAATGTATCAGATCCATATATAAATCAAATACATCAATCATTCAATAAATTTAAAAAGTGAAATTTCTCTTATAATAAAGACTAGAGGGAGTATTAATTAGAAGATAAAATTGAAAAAGTTACATTAAAAAATAAATTTAATCATTCATGTTAGGACAATTTTTTATTTTAAATGAATAACTTATTGTGAGACGGAGAGAGTATGTGGCATTATATGAACAGTGGCATTCAAAATTGACATATGATCAATGTGCGTTGATGTGGCATGAGTATTTTTTTTATACCATGTGACATTAATTATCAATGTTCATTCTTTGGAAGACTCATTTTTATTCATATACTAGATTAAGACGCATGTAATTCGCATGATTGAGATGAATTATTTAAATAATATTAAATTAGATAGATCTTGCTTATATTTTATATAAAAAGTTTTCTAATCAAGCCAATAAACTAAAATAAAAAAACATTAAAAAAATATAATTTAAAGTGAAATATTTTTGTTTGAATGAAAATGTAAGATAAGATATCAAAATTGAAAATTTTAATTATGAAATATATATATTGAATTTCGGAAATTTTTTATTGTTTCATTTTTCCTTTTTTCAATATTTCCAAAAATCATTTTATGGGTTGCATATTCTACATTAATATTTATATAATTTTTTATTCGAAGTTAAATTTTTAACATGTAACTATAATTATAATTAAGAATTATATTTTTAAAAAGTATTTGTTTGTTTACTAAAAAGTTAAAAGTTTAATTTAAAAATATTATTTAACCATCTTATTTTAATCAATATAATATTCATTTTATTTTTTATTTTTTATTTTTTATTTATAAGTTTTGTGGAATAAAATATTATATTATTTAGTTTGAAGAAGTATGATAGACATAAAAAATAATTATTAATATATAAAAAATAAAATAGAGAAATCACTTGAGAAATATATAAATAAAAGTGTTTCATGTACGCAAATTAAAAATATATATATGTAACTTTTCAATATTATCCTATGGCAGTAAATATTTGGAAACGTGTATGTTTTGTTCTGGAACTTGTTATGCCTTATCCATTTACCACGTATGACGTTATTTGTACAGTGTTTGGGGTGAGTAATAATTTGTGTTTTGTTTCTATATAAAGAACGATGAAATTGCAAATATTAAAAAAAAAAAAAAGTTGAGAACTGAGAGAAGCTTATGATAGTTACTAGTTGTGGCGGTAGTAGAAAAAGAAGATGATGAAGATGATGATGAGAGAATGGAAGGATATTCCGGTTGAACTTCTGATGCTGATTTTGTCACTTTTAGATGATCAAACGGTTATTACAGCTTCTCATGTTTGTCATGGCTGGAGAGATTCTATTTCTTTTGGTCTCACCCACTTATCACTCTCATGGTATGTACTATACTTATAATTTTCTTGTTTGTTTTTTCTGTTGAACCTATGATTAATAAGAGTGCATGTGTTATTAGGTGTAGCAAGAACATGAATAACTTGGTGCTATCTCTAGCTCCTAAGTTCACAAAGTTGCAAACTCTAATCCTTCGTCAAGACAAGCCTCAACTTGAGGACAATGCTGTTGAGGCTGTTTCAAAATTCTGTCCCGACCTGCAGGTTCTGGACCTCAGCAAAAGTTTCAAGCTTTCGGATCGTTCGCTTTATGCTATAGCTTTTGGTTGTTGTGATCTTACAAAACTTAACATCAGTGGCTGTTCGGCTTTTAGTGACAAAGCTTTGGCTTATCTAGCTAGTTTATGCAGGAAGCTGAAAGTTTTGAATCTGTGTGGTTGTGTTAAAGCTGTGTCAGATACTGTATTACAGGTATATTGGTCAACAATTTCATATAGGAATTATGGTCTTTTTAGATTACTTCATTGATTTTTTTATGAAGTCCAGGCAATTGGACATTACTGCAATGAGTTACAGTCTTTGAACCTTGGATGGTGTGAACAAATAAGTGATGTAGGTGTGATGAGTTTAGCGTATGGATGCCCTGATCTTAGAACACTTGACTTATGTGGTTGTGTCCTTATAACAGGTATTTCATTCGCGCTATTTTCTATATACTCTAGTTAGTTGTGTTGTTCTTAGTTTTTGTAATTAGCAACAGTGCAAACATGACTCTGATGTTGTTGCTGCAGATGAAAGTGTAATAGCATTGGCAAATAGGTGTCCTCATCTGAGGTCACTTGGGCTATACTACTGCAAAAACATAACAGACAGAGCAATGTATTCATTGGCACAAAGCAAAGTGAATAACAAGATGTGGGAAACTGTGAATGGTGAAAATGATGAGGATGGTTTAAGGACTTTGAACATTAGTCAGTGTACATCACTTACTCCTTCAGCTGTTCAGGCTGTTTGTGACTCATTCCCTGCACTTCACACCTGCCCAGGAAGACATTCACTCATCATTAGTGGCTGTTTGAATCTTACATCTGTGCATTGTGCTTGTTGCGTCCGGCCTCACCGAGCTATAAACGCTTTCCCTCACTCAGCTCATTGAACCAAATACAGTTCATGTGATGCTAGGTTAGGCCATTTTGGATGTAAATATTGGTTTATTTCAAGTTTGACTATGAATTTAGTCTAGGACATGATACATGACTTTCAAATTCGTGTGGTATTATGGAAGGATGTTAATATGATGTTAGGAACTTCTGGGAATTAATTTTGCTAAATGTTTTTTTCTAAAGTAATTTGAAGGAAAATGGAATCTGTGCTAGTAAAAAGAAACTATAATAAAGATGGCTATTTTACAAACAGCAAATTTATGAAGCTTTGCGTGGTCCCTCCACTTCTCAGCACTCGACACTCAAACCTATAAACTCTTTAGAATAAGAAAAAACATAAATTCTGTGGGGCTCTTTTCATGACTTGACTATGATGCACGTGTTGGACAGCAACAAGGAGTCATTGTCAGTGAAACAGTGAAAGGGTCCAAATTAGAGTTCCAATGAAAAATGTATTGATTTCAAATTTTAATCTCCAGGTTCTCAAAATCTAGAGCCACCTGTAGTACATTCATACAGAGATTTCACTATGGCTAATCGATTACATAGTTTGCCATGTGCTGTAGTCAAATGCTTTAAGATTTGATTAAATGTTATGTATGGTATGCCCATGTAATTTGATGACAACGTAATTACAACAAACGACAAAACATTAATGGTTGGCACCATTGTCTTCACAAAACTACGCTCAATTTCTTTCAGTAATATCATCCAACCAAATATTGACAAGGGCTGAATTTTGGTTTTGGGATTATTTGCTTTTGTAAACTATCTCTTCATCATCCACATCAAATGCTGGATTACAAAGACATTTGAAGAGTCTACCAATACCCTGCAAAGCAGAAATGTTTACATATTTGTGCAATCAAAGTTTCAACACCTATGAAAGCACTAACAACATATACAGACGATAATTTAAGAAAATCTAACCATACAAGTTTGACATTACACACCTATAATTTAAAATGTCAGTACCACATAGATCAACCCATGCTTGGTGCTATAAACTTAATGGTTATCATATGTTTGAAAGCCGATATTGTACGTGTGCACGCGAATATGCAAAATCGCTCTCATTAGATCAATATAGTTTTAGAATACCTGATTGAAAAAGGGAGTTCGATAGGTAAGTGCTCTATGCGATGATTCATCGTCTGATGAATCAGAGCTGCTTCCTTCGTCATCAGAATCAACGGCGTGTTTCTTCTTCAGTGTTTCTCCTTTTGCATTCTTTTCCTGAAGGAAGCACATCACAATATATTAGTTACTAGCCCAAAAAAAACAGATTCATATCATTGTAAAATAGCTTTCTTCACTCTTTTGTGTGAGTTTGAATGGAGTACTTTTTGGAGAGAAAGATGAAGTGAGTATACTGAAGATGAAAAGCAAGTGTCTTGTTTTTTTGTTCAACACAACTAGTTGTTTCATAAGGTAAAATTCAATCCAAATTTTCATTAGATCTCAATAATTGTATGAAATCTTGTCAGAGATGATAGATAGTATAATGCTTATGTTAAAGCCAAATATTAAAACCAAAATAGATCCTCGCCAGCTGTCTTTTATGAATTTTCTCTTATTTTACAGTCTCCAGCTAACTCTGCCATAAAACTGGCTGCAAATTATCTACTAGCAAGTCTGATTAAAAAGGATTAATACTATGAAAGTAATGATTATTGGCCTGTTTTCCTAGAAACATGAAAATTAGAATAATCAATGCTAAATAAGTTAAAATGTGCACCTGAAATATCTTCCCAAGAATTTTAAGAGCGATAGCTCGAACTCTAAGTTCCTCTTTCCGAACATTATTTTCCTTTAGAACCTGCAATAGCAAATATATGAGTAAGAATTTTCTACCATTTTTCATTTCCTTTAGTATTCTGGTTGATTATAAAAAAGAAAATTGATTCTCACAAAAAGAAATTATCGAAAGTCACAATCACTCGTCTTAAGTACATTAGGCTCGAGCCTTTATAGCTGAAAATTCCTTATTTCAACATATGGTAAGAATCTTACATTTTCGTAACACTGCCTTTCATATCTGGACAAAAGGAACTGAATACAATAACCTGTTTTCTGATCAATTACTAACATCATCTTACACAAACAGAAAAGCATACAGTTTACAACTATACAAGAGTTATACAGATTTACAGATTTATACTTTAGATGAGAGAGAGTTAGCTTTACAAGTTGAAAAAAATATGTAACATAGTTAGAAGTATGTTGGTAAAAGATTAATTAATGCAGTTAAAAATTTGAAAGGTGTTCTATAAAAAGAGATGAGGAAAAATCTCTAACAAGCATTCAGAACTCACCATTTGACACACGTGTGCAAGGGTTACTTCTATGTCCACTACATTTAACTTCCACAGTGAATTCAACAAAGTATCCTTATTAAGACGAATATGGGAGTCAACATTTTCAGGGCAACTACCGCCCGTTTTAGATTGCCTGCTGAGTTCGTCTTGAAGTTGGAGCAACTGAAAAGCACCTGAATCATATGTGCACAATAAGATCAAACTTCGTTTGGATAACTAACTTTCAATAATAAGCAATTGACACCTTTAGGGAAAGGGTTGTTAATGGAGAATGGAGTCGTTATACCTTTAGCAGCTGTTAACTGTGATTTCCAAAAGTGTCCTTTATTGCGAACCCATTCAGCTAGAAATGGCACTCCAAGATAAAGGGCCTTTTTCCCTAGTTCTTGAGCTGCTTGTCTTGAGTATATATAGCCAATGGTATGTAACATGTCAACTCCAAAAGCTGCAAAGACACAAGTAACTAGTTAGGGAATGTTGGGCATTATCAATCGCTGATCGTGAAGAACAGTGTTCTGTTCAAAGTCTACTATACTACATTGCTACATTATCACTATAACCGCAATTTAAACAATATGTATTGATAGCGTGTCACATATTAATAGGGATTTGTTCAAATTCATAGTCTTATAGGATTATAATTCCGCTATTTGACATGGTAGATATCATTGATACAATAACACCCATAAAACAAAATGTATGTGTCATTTAAGACTTCAGTAAGAGAAGTGTTAAGTTCAACGCAGGCATTCAATATTTACAGTTTTCAATGATAAGCAACTGCCACATGGATTTAGCAGTTAGAATTCACTAACCTGCATGAGAAAGCCGTTTTGCTTCAGATTCAGCGCGCTGCAAAAAACCTTTTTGGTCACCGCGGACATATTGGCTAAGACAATCTTTCAAAAATCTTGCTAGCTTTTCTTCCCTTTCTTTCTGGACAGCCTATATCGAAGCACCACATAATTTAAAATTCATAAAATATATTCCAGGGGATGAATACATGTATTATGATTCAAGGAAAGATCGGGAAAAAGAATAGAATGAGAAGTTGACATTGTACATTAGCTTTAAATTCTTAGGAAGAAAAAATAATCACATTATAAGAGTGGAAAAGTATAAAATCTTTTTTCTACATCAAAGAAAATACTAGCATGGAAGATTTAGCACCGGTTCTAAGTGGTTTGTTGGTTTTATGCATGTATCGTAACCTTTCCATACTCGGTTCAAAATCAGGCATTACGAGACAGGGAAAAGAACCCAAACTGTAAAATTCAGCAATAATAGCTTAACTAAACTTTACTATAAAATTAAACTTAAAAAATTCCCCTTACCCCAGCATTCTACCTCGTAACTAAGCTTCTACAAGCCTCTCCTAATCACACTGTTGTGTCAATACACAATGTCTGGACTTAATATTTGTGGGAGTCTCACAGTAACCAGATATGAATCGCTTCTCTCATAATAAGAGAAACTGTGGAGTTGAAGTTGTTCTACTTACTTATTGTGTTCTAGAAACATATAGAAAGAACTTCAAAAATATAAAGTCTAGAAAAAAAGCTATAATATAACGAAAAGTGAATTTCAAAACACACTTACCTTTAGCTTTTCCTGCAAATCTTCACTTTCATCCGCTAGCTCAGAAGAAGCCATTGATGCAACCGCTAGGTGCCCAACGTAGTCCTCAAACAATTCACTTCCAAAGAGCAGGGCAAAGACAGCCATTGGGTCAAGCATAGTTTCTCTGTCAAGGAACCCATATTAATATTTTGTGAAAACAAGCTAGATAATGATATACTAATCACCACGTAAACCTATTTCAACTGTGATGCTTATGAAGCACCAACACAGATACACATATACAGACACCAAACACGAATCGGACACCAAAATAAACATTTTCTAACAATTGATGAGATACGTATTTGTGTGTACCTAGATACAGAATGCTTTCCATTTTGATCATACCCTTTCCTCTGCACTGGATCACTCAAAACCTGATACGCTTCGCCCAAAATCTACCAACAACATAATTAAAATTATATAAAGCAAATTATTAAATAAAATTATTAAGTAAATTATATATATATATATATATATATATATATATATATATATATATATATATATATATATATATATATATATATATATATATATATATATATATATATATATATATATATATATATATATATATATATATATATATATATATATATATATATCACATCCGCATGAATTAAAAAATTAAAAATAATGAAATGCATAGAGTTAGTACCTGGAACTTGTGTGCAGCATTAGGATCGTTTTGGTTTCTATCAGGATGAACTTGTTTTGCCTGTAACAAACAAGTAAGCAAAAATCGCAATGCAAAATTCATAATCCAAAAAGGAAAAACAAGAAACCTTTTGATAATAAGCCTTGCGAATTTGATCATCGGAAGCAGAAGGAGAGACTCCGAGGATATCGTAATACTCAGTTTCCTTCACCATTATCGATGGAAGGTTGGGGAAGGAAGAGAGAGAAAGAAAGAAAAGAAAGAATGAGAAAGGGAAATGAACGAGTGAGTGAGTGAGTGACGACTCACGAGGTGATGTAGGCTTTACAGTTAGTTGTAAATGTGTATACTATGATTTCATGATCACGGGAAGTGCTTTTTCGCGGGAGATAACTGTTTTTTAAGTTCTTTCATCATCATATTCCTATTTTCATATTCATTTGTCATAAAGTTGGAAAAAAGAGAGTCGCTTTTGGAGCTGTCAGTGGGCCTTGGGTTCCATCCTTAGGTGAACTTTTGGACTTGTTGATGGGGGTGCTTTTTCTTGGTTCCTCTTTTTTATGGGTTTCATTGGAAATGGGGTGTGTCGTGTTTATTTATACTTGCTTTTTATAGAATAAATTAAATAACTTCTTTTATGTTTCCAGCTCAAAACATAAAGCTTTTTTTTTTTTTACATACTTGAAAATGGAAAGTACACACAAAAATATATATATACATATTTAAGAAATTTTTTCATTTCAAGTTATTGTGTTTATCTCTCTTCTATTAGAACAGTTCGCATTAGAGAGGATAATTCCTCAAAGTAGGAATTTGCTTTTAACAAATCCCTTGCGTTACACGGCATCCTCCATATTTTCCTGGACTGTATTAATTCTTGCTTGTAGAGCGTACATTACTGTATTTGGTTACATTTCAGCTTAATGTTTAGAAATTATTATAAACAAGTGGTGGTTTTCAGGAGAGCGTGTCCAAATATAAGCACCACTTTTGAGTTACAGCTACCATGTTGAAACATCATGGTATAAATATAAATAAACGTCTGTCGTGTGTCTTCTTTATACGAAGAAAGCGGGAAATTCACAGCTGATGTACTAATGCTCACATCCAATAAATGGAAGAAATGATTAAAAGGTAGCCAAATTCGGTAGAACGATCATGATATGCGGGCTATAATAAAATTAAAATATTTTTGGTACATGTGATGAAATTCGATAGCGCTTGAAATTCACATCATACAGCAGAGTGAAAGGTAACAGCTGCTTAGAAACATTATAATCTCATCACCATGAGCAACAGCTACTAGTTGATGCATCAGATTCTTGGGGTTTCTGCTTGAAGATGTTCTTTTTCACACCAGATGAGCCCTCGGCCAAGAGGCTGGGTGTATCCAAAATCTGAAAAGGACAAAAAGAATCCAGAATTAATTTCATTTACTGAATGTGCTGAGTTGTACTTAATGCAAACAAATAGAAGCAAATGGGTGCTTGAAGTCCTTTTGTTAAGGAAGGACATAAACATAAAAATAAAATAAAAAAATAGTATGCAATGAAGTCCTTTTGTTACAGGAGAACCCCAAGAAAGGTCCGAGATTGGATAAATGTTTCGACGAGCTTGAGTTTATTTATATTTTTCTTGATTTTGAAGAGATGGGGAGAGTTGAGTGAATACCTTCATTACAAGCTCTTCAAAACACTGCTCAACATTAACTCGAGTTTTTGCACTGCATTCAGTATAAAGGCATCCATATTGCCTTGCAAAGTCCACCGCTTCCTTTTTGGTAACAACCCTTTCACTTTCCTAAAACATGATATAAGCAAACTTCTTACTGAATCGGTAAAAAAATACTTAATACACAATCTGGTAGAGTAAAGCAGTACGCATGCAAATTCATAAATGGTGTACCTTGTCAACTTTGTTCCCTACAAGCATCTTGATGCAATCTTGATTTGTTGAGTATAGGTCAATTTCTTTAGCCCATATGTCAGATAGATTTGTAAAGGTGTCCCGCCGCGTTACATCATATACTGTATTCATAACCCAGATTCACTGAAGGTTTATAATATAAACTGATAGATAAATGCGGTTGCCACGGCTAAAGAATTAAAACATTCTCATCACACTGAGAAGTAAAAATTGAAGCAATACTGTCTTTGATTGTGCCATTTCAGTCTCAAGAAAGTATCGCAATCGACCTAGAATTTTAGTTTGAAATGTCTAAATAAAAGTTGCTTCAAATCCTCAATATCTTCCTGATCATCACTTGTAATAACAATATCATTAATGTACACCAAAAGATAAATGAATTACCTTATCACTTTAAAAGGAAATGTAAAGATATTCATACAAGAGGAAACAGTATCGTGATCCCTGAATTTCTAAATTAAATCCATTAGCTCAGGCTATCTATGGTAGCTATGAAATATAAATAAGATATCAGGTTAATAACAGAAATGCTAACAATAATTACAATTAAATTTTGCTATCCACTTACCATTAAATTTTTTTAAAAAAAAAACCTAAAAGGGATTCAAATAAAATAGAAATCGGTATGAACTAGACACATAGCCATGTTAAATGATTTACAGCTCAAAACGATAACAGAATTCAAACAAAATAGGAAAAACATACATCACGAGATAGCAAGCAGAAAGCATAGCTATGAAATGGAAGAAAAAAAATCAAGGAGCATACCCATAATTATTCCTTGTGCACCTCTATAATATGAACCTGTAAGTGTTCTAAACCTTTCCTGTCCAGCTGCACGATATGAAAATACAAAATTATGCAGCTAACTTATTACAGATATGGTTGGATAGACTTCTGCAAACTTATAGTCAAGTAAGTTTGTAACAAAGAGAGGAGAATTTAGTATGCCAAAACAAGCTGCTCGTTTCTATATATAAAAAGTGCTATATACTTTATATTGCACATAGCAACTAAAGCATTGCGCTATACAATATGTTTTCTTAAATAGACATAAGAAACTTTCAATCTTCTGTTCAATGCAACAAAGTAGATTGAAATATAGGTGTATAATAACATGATAATGGCACTTTCCAAACTAAAGTTTACTCAGTCTTTTAACTTGAATATAAGGTCTATTTCGAATTTTCTGATTTTAAAAAATATAACAGATTTGCTAAATTATGCTGTTACATTACATGTCATTCTAAGATATGTTAATAACCAATATTGAAAATTCAAAAATAAATTTTGAAGATTGAAATCGATATGGCATACATTGCAATTATAGCTTAAAACAGAACAGTTAAGTAAATGAGAACTTCAGTACTTCCACGCTCAATATGCAGCACACAGGTTTGGGATGATAGAAAGAAGTTCCACACCTTAAATTCTATAGAATTAAAACTTTCCAAAATAAAACTAAATCAGCATGTCACATTAAACATTACCTGTGTCCCAAATAGCAAGTTTTAACTTTTTTCCACCAAGTGTAACATATTTAACTTTGAAATCTACACCTGCATTATGTTCAAAAGAGTCGATGCAAATAAATGAGGAAAGATGTACTTTAACCTATAATTGGGTGGAAGGGACGATAAAACAGTATCATAAACCACATACAAACCATCACAGATCATTTGATTTCTTACACCAATGAAAAGTGTTATATATCAAGACCTTTCTAATGAAATATAACGCTCTTTCACATCTATATTAACATTATAAGCTTATGAACTGGTTATAAGATGGATAATGATTCAACCACTATTCAGATTCCTTAAATTTCTCCCAACACCCACTATGAGAGTGAAGCTAATTTTTTGACAAAATGAGAGAGCTTGAACTCAACTCAACATTCCAGATAGAAAATGAAATACAGTAAACTAGTTAAAAACAAGGACATGAGCGACAACTAGGAAACACTAAGAAAAGTCTTTCGCTATTGACACGTTGTGGAATTTCATTTCACATCACTTTTTCCGCCAGTTTTTCCTACATCCATGCCATGTCATCCTTACTAGTTTGATCAAATAACCAAATGAAACCTCCTGGTCAACCCTAAAAAATTATTACACATCTCAAGGGTATTTCCCTGAAAAAGCACAAGAAGTTTTCACACCTATGTTTGTTTGATTCTATGTTTAGATCTCCTAGAATAACATCTTGGTTAGTCAGATGTAATTTGGCCATAAATTTATCGCGGTTGTTTGCTAGCACCTCAAATGTGATTTATATTTAGATTACATTAAAAAATCGTAAGAATGAGTTGAACAATAAATTGAGTGTTAGAGTCACATTTAAAGACAAGCTACCAAACATAACTTTAAGTTAATTAATTCTAGAGGCAAAATCAATGATACTTATAGATAACCCCCAAACATACCAAAATCATTCTTTTTGCTAACCACACTAACTAGGATATTTGACCCCAGTAGACGCTCCGAGGTATCTTGCAGTTTAGGCTCTTTAAGCCCGCCATGGGACTAATCCTCGAGTCGACAGGAGAGATCTAGTTTTTTTAGTAGGGTTGGGTCTTCTCCAAATGGGAAACTCCGGCAAATGAACCCAGTTACTTTTCCAATGAGAGAGTCATATTAGTTATTACCAACTCTCTCAACACCATGTTCATGCCAAAATCAATTTTAAGTATTCAGAATAGAAACATGCACTAAATGTAGCAGACATACACACACAGAAGCAATTCTGATCCAAACAGGAATTGATAAAAGTCACTTCACCTAGCTCTCAATTATCAACTTCAACAAAAGAAAAATAAAAAAAAAACAAAAAAAATCAGTTACAAAATCCATATAATAACAACTTTGTTATCCAAATTCACAACGCATATCACACCAGACACTTACAAAATCTATATAATAACACCTCATACAAGTATTCTAAAAGGAAACATAATAATGATCTACTTTGGCACTCATAGAACACAAGTACATTGAGAAAACACAAACTTATCATCCAAACCTAAAACCAAAAAATGCATAAACAGAAGGAAAAAGTGCATCATGAAAATGGATATAAGGGTTTTATTTGGAAGTGAAATGAACAAACCGATAGTGGGAGAAAGATCCTCGAAATTATCAGAAGTGAATCTGAGAAGCAGCGTGCTCTTTCCAACTCCAGAATCACCAATCATAAGAAGCTTGAACAAGTAATCGAATTCAGTGTGACTTGTCGAAGAGGAAGAAACATCCATCAGAACGGTACAATTAAGCACGGTTAGGTCTAAGCTACTTAGAGTGGTTTTGTGTTATTCCTTTTCGTTCTATTTGTTGGAAGAAACTAGACTTGTGTTGAATGAATTGAATGGAAAGAAGGTAGGAATAAAAGTATATTTAGAAGGTTGCCGAAAGTCAAAGAAAGGTTGAAGGTTGATCTATGCTTTACTTCTTGCGGTGAACCGGTGCTTGTTTCGGCTCTCTACAGAATATTAAAACCGGGTTGTTTGGTTTCAATTTAATTTATGGAGATTAATTATGGCGGATAATGAACTGAATCATCTCAAAAATATTTTGAAATTCGGTTTGATAATTAAATCGTTGAATAAGATTTATGAACTAAATGAATTGAATATGAGACAAAAATTAAGTTCGTTAACTAAATGAGATAAACTTGAATAATATATATTTGACTCGTTAGGTTCATGAGTCAACTCGATTATATATGAGAATAATTATATTTTTTTTAAGAATATGTTTAAAGATTTACTTCAAATCTTAACCCTATAGCATCCCTTCAGTACTAGTTATGGATGTGTTAGCTAAGAATTTCGACGCCAAAGATTTTAATTTGAATATGATAAGCAAAAAAAGAAACATTTTTTAAATGTTTTTAACTTTAACATGAGTGTTATTGGAAATTTCAGTCGAAATGATGGTCCTTTATGAAAAGGATGTGCTGAAGCAAGACTTAAAACTATTTCTAACTGTGGATGGCAATTTCGACGCAGCCTATATGTGGCTTGTCTTCAACGAAGATTTGAATTTCAAATAAGGATAATAACTGTCTTCTTTTCTTATCTGTTTCTTGGAAATGACGTGTGGAAGGTTGTGGCGAATTGAAGACATGCAGAGCAAAACGTGTCATTTTTTGGTGGAATGACCGTTAATGACAGTTATTTTTGACGTAGTATAAATATGAGTCTTAGTGCATGGGATTTCGGTGTGTTCAATTGTTGTACAAATACTCTCAAAATTACTCAAAGTATCTAAGTTAATTGAGAAAAGAGTTTTCAATGAGAATGTACGTTTGAAACACCACATTCTATTTTAATTGAAAGTTATTTTCAATTTACCTTTTATTTCTTACATTGCAATTTTACTTTGAAGTTTCTTTATTGCACATTTCTTTACAATTCTACAAGTTTATTTTTTAAAAACTTTAAACAATCTTTCATAAGCATGAGCATTATCGAAGTGTTCTTGATATTTTTAGAAATAGTTTAAATGATAATTATGTTCTAAGGATTCATTGGTTGATCCTGCAAGTAAACCAATTTTTGGAAGACCGGTGGTTATTTACCAATTTTCACATTAAACAAATTGGCACACCTAGTAGGACAGTGCTATCATTTCAAACATTTTTCTATTCTAAAAAAAAATTTCTATAAGTTCTTCATTTTTGTTATCTCTCTAAACTTTGTTGTATGAGACTAAGAAGTGGCAAGATAGCCACAAATAACGAAGAAAGACATATGAGAAGATACATAAGAAGGATGGTGAATCAAAATCCACCAAATAACAATGAAGAACCACCCCCATCATCTTCGATAGGGGGAACTACGGTTCCAGCGTTAGTTTTTGAAACTGTATCGTCCACAGCAAATACGACGCATGTACAGTCGATTGCCCAAAGTGGACCAATTTTATCTTATGTGGGAACACAGGGTCCACCAGTGACCCCCCATCCAGTGGGGAGTAATTTATTCAGGCCTTATATGCCTGGATTTTCAATGCCTTCAATAGGTCGCGAGCAGCCTTATGGCATGCCAACATCAGTGATTGCAAGTTTGTATAATCCGTCGTCAATGTTCACAGACCCAGTGGTGAATGCAACTTCGCTACTATAAGGATCTGGTTCAGGCATTAATAATTTGGGTCGAATTAGTCATCCTTTAGGGACGAGATTTCCCACTTAAATGCCTAATATCACCAATAATTATGCAGTGGTGATAAGGTAGCAAATGGACGAAAACAATCATGAAATGATCCAAATGTTTGCCCAACAAATGAGTATTATATTCAACCCTATAATCCAAAATACTACCCAAACAAACCAACAGATGGCAGTGCAAATAACGTGTATTGTTGATTTTTTTATTGTTCCACAACTCCCTCGACAACCTCAAAGAGAATGAATGGTAGAAAATTCAGGGGTAGTCTTGGAGGATGACCCTACTATCAACCAAGTCCAACAAAATGTACCTCAGGCGAACGTTGCAAGCCAAGGAGTAGAAGTCGAACCTCCTAGGGTCGAACCTCATAGGATGGCACTACAAATTTCAAGGGAAAAGGAACCAAGGATAGTCATGGTTAATTGAAACCAAAATGCTGACGAAGTCATCAATCAGTCTCAACGTGATGATGTGGCAGCAGACAAAAATTTAGCAGCCATGGTCGAAAGAATTATGGCAAGGAACGAGGTAAATATTGGCCTCCATAGGACAAATCACACATCACCATTGTCTGAATATATTTTGTAATCAGAATTACCCTCTATTTGAAAAGTCCCCAAGTTCACTAAGTTTTCTAGGGACACTAGTTAGTCCACTGTTGAACACGTGACAAGGTATTTAATAAAGGCAGAGGGAATTGTTAATAATGAAAACCTAAGGATAAAATATTTTCCAAGTTCCCTTATAAAGAATGTCTTCACATGGTTCACCACATTACTAGCAAATTCAGTTCATAATTGGACTCAACTGGAAAGATTGTTCCATGAACAATTTTACATGGGACAGTCGAAAATAAGTTTGAAGGAATTGGCTAGCATTAAGATAAAATTCTTTGAGCAATAGATGATTATTTGAATATGAGAGAGAGAGAGAGAGAGAGAGAGAGAGAGAGATTCTAAACTCAATCAACTCTATATATCTTACAGCTCTCGAAAGATTATAATCATGTTGTTATTATTAATAGAGAGATTGTTAGACATTGTCATAAAATTATCTTAATTCGTTGGAAGCTCCCTTCGAATGGTTGGGTCATTCGCGGGAATGATGGAGAGTTGTTGAGCGAATTCAATATTTGTATTTAAAGGTGTAGTGCATATGTTATTATTTTGAGGAGTGTACGAAGATTTGAAATATCTTGAAAGGTTGGAGTTTTGAGCACTTGAGGTTAATGTGAACTCTTTATTGTTTGCTAATGTTGTTGATAGTCATAAAAAGGGGTAAAGCTTTTGTTGCAAAAATATGTCTTCTTCTCGAGATGATAAGATTGTTATTGGGAAAAACCCAAGTCCCACGTTGGTTAAAGATACAATCTACAAAGGGTTTATACTTCCTTTTTCAATGTTTATTCAGCTTGTATTTGCTTTCATCATGGTTTTTGTGTATTTACACTACACCATTATCATGGTATCACAAGCCTATCAATTTGAGCCACCCACCATTTATATATGCGCACCAACCCCAAAAAGTGCTGGGCTTGTAATACCCGAGATCGAAGAGGGGAGAAAGTGGTTACATGTAAGCACCCGAGGGCGAGGGAGTGGTTGTCGGTGCACGAGGTATGATAATGAAACACTCCTAGAAGCTTTGTGAGGGAGTGGTTGCTGGTGCATGAGGCATGATAATGAGTCACTCCTTGCAGCTTCTAAGAAAAAAATCGAATTCATATAGGAATGAGAGGGATCCTGAGGCTGTTCAGGTATGAGACTGCATGGTTAAAGAAAGACTTATAAGAATTAATTGGTACTACCTATACCAACAAGATGCATCTTCTTTTCGGTAGTCCGTTCCACAAGAACTCTATATTTAAACGTGCTTGACTTTGAGCAATTTTGGGATGGGTGACCTTCTGGGAAGTTTTTCGGAAAGCATGTGAGTGAGGACAAAACATGCTGAAAAAGACTCGTGTTGGTTTGTGGGATCAGTCGATAATCTTGAAAGTAGACTAAGGCGTTACAAATGGTATCAGAGTCATACCTCTCTTAGTACGATGTGGTTCAGAGATGAACCGAGCAGAAGCTGGTGGGCATGTAACACCCGAGACCGAAGAGGGGAGAGAGTGGTTACATGTAAACACCCGAGGGCGAGTGAGTGATTGTCGGTGCACGAGACATGACAATGAGACACTCCTATCAGCTTGGTGAAGGAGTGGTTGTCGGTGCATGAGGCATGACAATGAGACACTCCTAGCAGTTTCTAGGGAAAAAACGAATTCACATCAGAATGAGAGGGATCCTGAGGCTGTGCATGTATGAGACTGCATGGTTAAACGTGCTTGACTTAGAGCAATTTTAAGATGAGTGACCTTCTGGGAAGTTTTTCAGAAAGCATGTGAGTGAGGACAAAACATGCAGAAAAAGATCTGTATTGGCTTGTGGAGTCAGTCGGTAATCTTGAAAGTAGACTGGGGCATTACATGGCGCAAGGGGGTGTATTAGAAAAACCAAGTCTCATATATCGATAATTCGGGTCATCCACCATTTATATCCACGCACCAAACCCAATAGTGATGGGCGTGATGGGGTGTATTAGCAAAAACCGAAGTCCCACATTAGTTAAAGATACAATCTACAAATGGTTTATATAGAGTGACACCCCTCATCTTACCAACCGGTTTTGTAGGGATGAGTTAGGTCAAAGTCTAATTCTATCAATTGTACATAACATTATCCATAAGTTAATCCGAGTGCAAATGCGTTAACTAATTTTAATTGTAACACTTTCATTTATTTTTATGAGTTTTGTTCGACTCACTTTAGTCATTTGCTAATTGTTTATATTAAGATGATATTTATTTCTTGCTTAACTTTGATGTAGTCTTTTTATTTATTTATTTATTTATTTTTAGTTTTTAACTTTCTCTATAACAATAAAAACTATTTATTGGAACATTTATTGGAATGATTCGTGAAGTTGAATGGAAGAATCTCGAAAAAAACGGCAAATTTAATTTGGTTTTACACGTGTTGGAGTATATGGTGGATGCGAAATCAAATTATCTTCAATGACGATTTTTTTGGTGTGAGCGATATAGTGAATAGAATCAAACATTCATTTTGGTTGCGAATTGCAAATTCCATCATAAAACCATTTACATGCACTTATTATGATTGGATGAAACACCCGACTGATTTTTTTTTGGTAAAGGTTGAAGTCACTTTTTTTTCTTAAGATATCTGTAGTGTTACATGGTGTAAGTGTTTTTTTTTAAATGTTTGTAGTATTACATGGTGTGGTGTGATCAACTGATGTAGGTGGTTTGTTTGGTGGTTTGTGGTGTAATACTTTATACCTTTGTTTTTAATGAAAAATATCTTATTATAAAAATAAAAACTATTAACTTAAAATTTAAAAAGTGTCCCTTTTCATAACATTCACTCTCTTATTTCTTATATGAAATTTATGAATCCCGCACTTTTAAAAGTAGATCTGACATAAAAAGGTGAGAGAATCATACAAGTTTCATAAGAAAAAAAAAGTTACAAAGAGATGATCCTAACACACTTAAATTTTTAAAATATTCATCTTCCCTCTTTCTAATATTTTACTACAAAACTTACACTTGTTCTTTTCTTTTATTTTATAGAAAATCAATGTAATTAATGTTTAATTATGCTACTAAATGACTCTATAAAGTATCCCCATAAAGGATTGTCTATGAGACTAACACCTCAAATGTTTAGTTGAAACACATTTCTAAATTTCTAATTTTTTTCTTAGCCAACTTTTCTACACTTAAATTCCTTGATTGATACCACTAATTAAAAAAAAGTCAAAAGCATTTATTAATATCTCAATTTGCAATAGCAGCCACATATGACTTAATCAATCTGAATTTGACAGAAAGTATATCAATTTCTTGTAACATGAAGAAATTACAAAACACATAATCAATAAACTTATAGTATATGATGAAACAACAATCTAACATAACATATAGTTCCATTAATTCCTACTCAAACTCGATAATTCTCCAGCTGAACATCTTTAGCTGTCAATGGCACATACTCTCCAAGATAAACTTCAAGATGATCGGCCAAAGCAGACTTATCAATATTCTCATGATGATAACTCTTGCAAACCAAATACAAGACAGTTTGCAAAACAAGTCCAAACAAAAACAAACACGACAGCAACAAGAAACATAGTATCCCATATCCTGTTCTGTCCACGTAACCAAAACACCATGTTCCATTCACAACCACTACCTTAAAAACCAACCTTATCAAGAAAAACGAAACGTTTAGCATCAAAAATATAAATATTGACAAACCCATTTTCCCTTTTATCAACTCCTTGCTCTTCACCATAGCTTTGAATCCGTATAAATCCTCCAACACCGTCACAACGCTAGCGAGTTGCCATATCAAAGTTAAGTAAACAAATCCAATAAAATAGAAGATTATCAAGAAAATAAGCAAAACAGCTCCACCGTTTTTTACACCTACTGTCAACACTATGAAGATGATAACCAGAAAGGTTAGAAAATTGTAAGCGAAGAAAGCAGCATAGGCGCATAGAAAAGTGAGCATGAGTCTCTTCCAAACCTTGGGAACGATCTTGATGACTTTTTTGAAGGAGAGATCCTTGGATGTGAAGATGGATGCTGTTGTGTAGACGATAGCTGAGGTGGAGAGAAGTGAGAAGATTAAGAGGAAGGTGAAGTAGAATAATTTGAAAAGTAAGAGAGTGATGAACTGTGATGAAACTATGTCGGTGAGTTTATCGTATTTCGGTGTGCCTTGTTGGGTCTGGTCGATTTGTTCTTCGGTGTGTTTGATTTTGTTGAAGATGAGGTTGGAGACTTCTATGTGGAAGAGGAAGATGAAGGAGAGAGGGAGGATCAGAGTTAAGGTGATTTGTGAGAAGATTTTTCTCCATGAGAGTATGATTTTGAAGGATTGTTTGTAGCATCCGAAGAAACCGAGGAATTGCATGTCTTCTTGTTCTCTGTCCATGGTTTTTGGTTTGGAGAAGAGAGAGAGATTGTGTTTTGTTGTGATGAAGATGAAGATGAAAATGAAGAGAGGCGGAGAAGACTATATTGGAGAAGACTAATGTTGATATGAGAATGAGTCAATGGTTTTTTTGATCGGTCAATGATTTATTTGTATTAAGATTAGAGAGTTTGGAAGGATTTAATTAGAAAGATATAGTTTTCAATCTAAACCATATGATATAAATTTAAATACTCACATTAAAATGTACGGCAAATTCTCTAAATTATCATTGACCGACAACATATAAGACGTATACACCATTAAAAAATTATTTAGAAGATGTATTATTGAATTGTATAAATATTATTTTTAATATTTATGTTATGTTATTTATTAATAATTATTTAATGATATTAAAAAAATACATATTTTACTAATAATAATATTAACAACAACATAATTAAGATGTCATTTTCTCAAAATTATAAAATCTTTTGGTGATATCTTTTTTCTAAACAAAAAAAACTAAAACCCGCAACAACATTCGAAGACAACTTCTGTGACACATTAATCCTTCAACAACAATTTCGTCTCATGTGTTCGTGCAATCAGTCGCTCAACAATGTATTCGGCTTTCGCTTTTGTCGCCTTTTTTCATGTCAAGTTTTCGTCTCCATTTTGTTCGTATGAGTTCAACAATGTATAGCATGTAGTACATTATGAGGTTAATGATGAGCCCATGGTTAATGACTCTGTTCATGGTGATGTTAATGTTGATGATAATGAGGCTAATGATTAGGTTCATTATGGTATTAATAATGATGTTAATTGCAAAAGAAAGAAGCATTTTGGTGAGGAGGCTAATGAGGTGCATGAGGTATCAATTGTCCTAATGTCCAACAAGTTATGGGGAAAAAAAATAGGGCGGCAAAAAGGTGAAATCTAACATGACATTTTGATGATGATTTTGTAATATTTAGGGTGTTAAATGGTGTTGAAACATATGTTGCTAATTTATTGTAAAAGAAATACGCTTCTAGAAGGAGACATTTAACATGGATGCCATGTTGTCTTGCTATCGCATGTATGTGGTACGACAAGAAAGAGCCAGAAGATTAGGTTTCATCATATTATAGGTAATGTATGTTGTGTATTAATTCAAACTTAGTTAGTTAGTTATTTACTACATGTGTATATATAATAGCTACTTGTGTAGTTTTGTAACAACTCTTCTCTAACAGAACACTCTTATTTAATATTCAATAATCTCCTTCTTCTCTTCCACTTCAAGACTTTCTATCTTTCTCTCAATTAAAACTTCTGCATTCGTAAGGTGTGACAACACCAACATATGGTATCATGAGATCGGTTTTGATCCAGATTCAACAATGATTGTAGCCATGGTTGGAATAGGCGGCAACAACTTTCCTGCAAATCTTCCAGATTTTGATGACAAGAATTGGTAAAAATGCTGCATTCATATGAGAGTCATCTTCAATGTTCAAGATGTGTCTGAGTATGTAGCTGAGGGTTTTCAACCGCTAGCAAAAAATGCGGCTGATGCTCAGAAGGCAGCATACAAGGAATCCAAGAAAAAAGATCTGAAGGCCCTATTTTACATTCACCAATGTGTTAAAGTGAAGGTGTTTGATAAAATAACTTATGCTGCAACTTAGAAAGAAGCATGAGATATGTTAGAAAAATACTATGGAGGAGATGCGAAAGTAAAGAAGGTGTGCCTCCAATCTTTGAGAAAGCAGTATGAAATATCGCATATGAAAGAGGGAAAATGATATCATATTTCTTCACAAGGGTTCAAGAATTAACCAATTAGATGAAAAATTCTGGAGAGACATTGACAAAGCAAACGAAGGTTGAAAAAGTACTTCAAAGTCTTACTCCTCAATATGATATGATAGTAGTAACAATTGAGGAAACCAAAAATCTGGAAATAATAAATATGGAGGATGTGCAAGGATCTCTTGAAGTCAGAGAACTGATATTGAATCAAAGAGAGACAAATAAAAATTCTGAACATGCCCTGATTGCTCATTCAAGAAAGAGAGATTTTGATGACATGAAGAGAACGTGGAAGAAGGGAAAAGGAAAGCACTAGAGAGAAGCCACGCCATGTAGCAAAGAGAAGAAGAAGTTTGAAGAAAAATCTTAATCCTCTAAAGGAGAAGAAGGATCTAGCAAATTTCAAAATAAAAAAAAAAGTTTCAAGACAAGAGAAAGATTTAATGCTTCAATTGTAAGAAGTATGGTCATTTTGATTCAAATTGTTGGTTTGGAAAGGGCAAGAAAAAGACTGGTACAAAGGAAGATAACACGGTACAAGATGATTCAGATTTAGTCCTTGTCATGTTGATGATAACTACCTCTAAAGGGGTTCCAGCTTCTGATGTGTGGTACTTAGACTCTGGTTGTTTTAACCACATGACTGGACATAAGGGGTGGTTGACTGACTTTAACTCAAACAAGAAGACAAATGTGAAGCTTGCAAGTAGGAGAAGCTTAATGGTAGAAGGAATGGGCAAGATTTTCAAACAAAGAAAGGAAAAACAACATTGATAGAAGATGTGTTATTTGTCCCTGGTATGAAATGTAATCAGCTGAGCATTTGTTAGTTGGTAGAGAAAGGATTCTCAGTAATCATGGAAGGAGGCTCACTGAAGTTGTATGACAAGAAGAAAAAAGTGGTTCTTAAATCAACTCTGACCAAAAACAGAATCTGGAAGGCTAGTTTGAGATCCTCAGAATCACATTGTCTTTATTCATCAATTCCTAATGAAGAAAGTTGGCTTTGGCACAAAAGGTATATGCATATGAATTTTAGAAGTCTACGCAAGTTGAATACTATGAAGTTAGTAGAATGATTGCCTAAGATAGTTACACCTGATAAAGCATGTGACATTTGAATGCTTGGAAAGAAAATTAGGTTACCTTTTATGAAACAACTCTCAATGAGATCCAAACATGTACTGAATGTAGTTTCATCTGACACTTGTGGTCATTTTGAAACTCTTTCTTATGAAGGAATCAAGTACATCATCTCATTTGTAGATGAATTCAATAGAATGTTGTGGGTGTACCTGATAAAGACCAAAGAAGAAGCTTTAAAGATGTTCAAATGGTGTAAGGCTATAGCTGGAAAAAAAAGAGCGGAAGTCTGATTAAGATACTCAGGACAGATGGAGGAGGGGAATAAAAATCCCATTAATTCAAGCAAATATGTCATGAAAGTGGCATCTTGCATGAAGTAAGTCCCCCTGCACACCTCAACACAATGGTATGGATAAAAGAAGTAATACAAGCTTGGTCAAAATGACTAGGAGCATGCTGAAACAAAAGTCATTACCTTATAAATTCTAGGGTAAAGTAGTGTCTACTGCTGCTTATGTTTTGAATAGATGTCCTACCAAGAATTTAAAGAATCAAGTTCCAGAAGAATGTTGGTCAGAAAACAACCCTTGCATAACTCATCTCAAGGTATTTAGATCATTGTGCTAGATGAAAGAAAAACAAAACTTGAAGATAAAAGTGAACATATGATCTTAGATGGTTACTATCCAACTAAAACATATAGGTTATATAATCCAGTTACTGAGAAATTGGTGGTTAGTAGAGATGTAATCATCAGAGAAACAGAGTACTGGGATTGGAACCAAGGTGGAAAAAGAACAAGAGGGGTTCCAATACAGGCTCTAATGTAGTTTGATTCTGATGAAGTGAATCCAATCTCAACTGAGAATCCAGTTGAGACTGTGAATCCTACTCAAATGGAAAAACTAACCAAAAACAGACAGATACATGCAAGGCTAAATGATTATGAATTTGTGCCTGACATTAGAGTGGGTGAGGAAGGAGAAGCAATACACTTGGAAATATTAGCAGGTGCAAAACCACTGAATTATCAGGATGCAATGCAAGACAAAGTGTCGAAATATGAAATGAAGGAGGAACTTAGTTCAATTGAAAAATATGGTAGATAGAAATGTGCATAGTGGCCAAATGCCCTAGTTTTTGTAGTTTCATCCAAATGAAGTGGCGTCTTGATTGCACTTGCGATTTTGAAGAGCGTGCAATGTCTCTAATATTCTTGTAGTAACTCCATAAGTCAAACGCAATGTGTGCATGTGCTTGCTAGTGTGTATTTGAATTAAAATATTTTGTCCACTTTGATACTCTTAACAATCTTGGTTTAATGTTGATTGATGGACCTCATTGATCACCCCATACACATATCCTTGTAGTTATAAAACTTAAAGTTGTCAAAACCTGAGACCCATAGATATCATCTTCTATTGTACTAAGAAGTTTCATAGTAATGATAACATTGTAGTAGATCTTTAGTTGTTAATGATGTGTCACCTTTGTTCATAACTAACTTGTCATGCATATTATGTTTGCATTCAAGGTCTTGTTCATACTCGATTTGAGTTAGAGAGAATGCACAACACGTTTTCTTTGATTGTAGGAACCAACACCTGATTTGTTTGCACCTTGTTAGACTGAGGTATATAGAATGCACAACATATCTCCTTTAATTGCATAAACCCGCAACTGACTTGTTTGCACCCCGTTAGATGACCGCAAAACCTAAAAACGAGCATGTAATAGTTGAAAGAGATTGAAATTTCTCTCGTAAACGTTGAGCTCACACACTATCATGGATATATGAGAACCATGAGAAGACAAACTCCAAAAATAAAAAACAAATAGTCATAAAAGAAAAATCAATATTCATGAAAATAACAAAGTAAAAATTTAATAATTTTTTCCCTTGTAATCTTGTTTACAACCTTTTTTTTCTTTCTTTTAAGAACTGTTTGTTTACAAGCTGGGCTAAGGAAGATCAATTCATCTATGCTATGCTAGGGGATCTAAAATCACCCTCTCAAAAAGATCAAAAATCATATAAATCTAAATTAATAAAGAGGTATACTTATACAATAGAGACAAAAACAATGTCCAAAAATAAACAATATTGTTAATTACATGAATCAATTGTCTTT